ATCACCGGCGCCGGGCAGTTTGCAAGGAACGAATTTGCGGCCAAAAAACGCGCCCATCTCAGCTGCTGCTTCAGGTCGAGGGAGAACTGCCGCTGGGGGCATGTTGTTATGCGGCTGCCTCTGCCAGTCCCCATTCATCCGCAGCTCGCCCATTCCAGAGGCCATGTTGGAGGCCTGCCTGGCGCGGATGTGGCCCGGAAGAAAGAACCAGCCGGACCTGGTCACCGCGGGGGCAAGTTGTTTTTGATTGTCTGGGCGATGAAGCAGCACCAGCCTCCAAGCACAGCCCCGCACGCACTCCAGCCCCAACTCCGCCAGCTTGACCTCCTCCTCCGTCCTCCACGAGCTCAAACGAAGACACTGAGGCAGAGGATGCCATTACGAAATGGGAGGGGCGAGAGCGGAAATATGAGAGCTTTTTCACTTTCACCAAGGCTTGAGCCAAAATGGCATAGGGCCATGTTGGTCAAGCATTCCTCACACAAGCCATGTTTCCACACGCTCCAACATTAGCAATGAATGAATGAATGAATGAATGAATGAATGAATGAATGAATGAATGAATGAATGAATGAATGAATGAATGAATGAATGAAAGAATGAATGAATGAATGAATGAATGAATGAATGAATGAATGAATGAAAGAATGAATGAATGAATGAATGAATGGATGAATGAATGAATGAATGACTGACTGACTGACTGACTGACTGACTGACTGACTGAATGAATGAATGAATGAATGAATGAAGGAACGAACGAACGAACGAATGAACGAACGAACGAACGAACGAACGAATGAATGAATGAATGAATGAATGAAATGAATGACTGCAAGGAATGGAATGAATGAAATGAGTGACTGAATGAATGAATGAATGAATGAATGAATGAATGAATGAATGAATGAGTGAATGAATGAATGAATGAATGAATGAATGAATGAATGAATGAATGAATGAATGAATGAATGCATGCATGCATGCATGAATGAATGAATGAAAGAATGAATGAATGAATGAATGAATGAATGAATGAATGAATGAATGAATGAAATTAATGAGTGAACGATTAACCAATCAACCAATCAACCAATCAACCAACCAATCAACCAATCAACAAATCAACCAATCAATCAACCAATCAACCAATCAATCAACCAACCAACCAATCAACCAACCAACCAACCAGCCAACCCACCAATCAACCAACTCAAACAGCCAAATGAGCCAAATGAGCCAAATGACTAAACAAAACAGTTCTTCAAGCAAACTAGCAACCCCGCCCACTAGCCAACCGACCAACCAACCAACCAGCCAGGCAGCCAGCCAGCCAGTCGACCGACCGACTGACCGACCGACCAACCAACCAAACAACCAACCAACCAGTTAACCAAGCCCGGGATCGACCAACCTACCAACCACTTAATTGCAAACCAACAAATCAAACAAAAAAAGTAATAGCGATGGCAGGAAGGAAAGTATATTCGCAGTGAACATAGCTGTGATAGACATAATGGTGGCAGTAGTGTTACTTGTTCTTGTACCGGCACAAGCAGTGCACGCCAAGCACTTAGAATGATAGCGTATATTGTACTCATACACCCTATGCACATGCTGCACATGTGCCAAAGACAGTGCAAGAAACAACTGGTCTCAATGGTCTGTGCGCAAAGAAGGCGAGCTGCATGGCTGTACAAAATCAGGATCCCTTTAGAGCCTAACCCCGTCTCGGGGTTGAAAAAAAGCTCATCCTCAAGGCACGTGTGCCCCACGGCCCAACAAGCCGATGGACAACGTGCTGAGCAAAGGTCTTAGGCTCCACCCAAGCTCCTCCTTCACAAGAGGAGCTTGAGGTAGACGGCATTCCTGCGGCACACCTGGCGGATCGATGTCTCGACTTTCGGGGCAAAAGCTGGCCAAAAGCATGTTTGCCTCTTGGACGCTGCTTAATATAGAACTTTGCAGCAACCTAGAAAAGAGTACGGCGAAAAGATACTTAGATGCGGGTAGATGAGTATCCCGTGGTCCAATCACGCATGCAAGGGTCACCGGATGCCGCTCAGTGTCAATCTGACTTGAGGAGGTGAACGAAAGCTAGCAACTGTTGTATGAGACGGGTCGGAAGCAGAATAGACTTCATAGGTCCGCCGTAAGGATCCTCAGGAGTCTTGCAATCTTTGTGATAAAATCAAACTTTCAGCATTTCAGCCCCTTACCTTGCTTTCGCAAGGAGAAACTTCAGCTAGCTAAAGCTAGCTTTCGTGACTTGCAAATGGAATGTGTTTTGTGTGGTTTTGTGTTACCCCAGTAGTGACATCTCGGCATGCAAATGGCTTCAGTGCTTGCAGGAAGTCTCTTTCAAAGGACTTCCGCTCTGCTTACTCAGCGCAGAGAAGCCCACGCACTCCGCATGCGAACAGTGTACACATGTGCAGCATCAACAGTTTGCAGGTGCGTTCAACTGGGGCCATGTCGTGGTCTTGAGAGGGGGTGATACCTCTCAAGAGCCATTGCGTACACACCGCCAGGGAATCTTGTCCTGCCTTCCAGCCAAGATGGAGAAAAGGTCTTGCAAGAGGTAAGCCAGGCCAACACTGTATCCTCAGCTCGCATTATGGAAGCAGTGAGCACAGATTGTCCGTCTTTAAGAAGACATGGCTTCCACAAGCTGGGCCGGAGGGAAAATGTTGGCACGACACAATGCTCGGCACCTTGTTCCTGACCCCTGCACTTTTGGCTTTTGCTGTCAATAGGCAAGATTGGCCACGACGGATGTGGTGTCTGCCCCCGGGCACAGTTTCAACACACAACCACAGCTGTCATGACAACTAAAAGAAGGCAAATTCAATTGATGTCATGGTCAAACAAGGCAGAACGCTGTGCCGCCATCATGCCACAAACAAGCACAGGGTGGTTTAGCGTTACCATTTTATTCTTGGCAAACTACCACAGAGGCTGAGTGCTCCCATATCGCAAAAGAAACACTGGTTATATTCCTTCGTTGCCCTTGACTGGCAGCTTGTGGAGGCAAGCTTGATTTGACAGAAGCAAGAGCGCAAAATGAAGACTGCCGCGGCTCAGCTTCGGCATTGTGTGCCTTCAGTATCGTCTTGGGGCAATCCACGTGTTGTTTACACCAAGTTACCAATCACGTTGGGAACACGGAACACCTGCTGCTTTGGCAACGAAGATGTGGTTAAAAACAAAACCCTGGGGAGACCTTCTCATGGCACGAGTCTGCAAGGTGCAGAAGCACCAAAGTCATGACAGCATATGATGGCTACCACGCGTTGGAATGGCAACAAGTAACAAAAACGCTGTAAGAACAGAAGGCTGCCTCTGTCAAAATCAGAGCGTACAGGAAGGAGCGCATAAGGCTTGACAGCCGCAATACGCACTACCACAAGTGGCCATTTCGCGGAACCAGTTCAAAACGCGCTCGTCCAGGAAACATGTCGGCTTTGCCATTAAAACTCGTGCTTCGATGCGAATGCAGATATCATTTCTGAAGAGATTCTGGCAACGATTTTTGTCATCCTGATTTAGCGCTTCTTAGCTTGCAGCATCTACCTTCTGTTACACTGTCTTCTCACAACTGGCATCTGCTGCAATGGACAATCAGTCAAGATGAAGTGAAGCGCCGAAATGACGCTCACATCAAAACCCGCAAAACGCAACCTGGTCCGTGCAGCACAAGTTGCACGATAGCTCTGCGACGATCCCTGCAGTTCGGCAGGATGGCGCCCGCGAGTTGTGGAAACTACACTTCAATCTCTTCATTTAGCAAATGGAATACTTGTTCTCAAATAATTGAGCTACTGGCAAGAGGTTATAATGTAGGCTTGCATTCCCAGAAACGAAACGGTCATTCTCAACAACGAGCTTGGACCTCACAAAATACAGCGAAATCTGGCTTTATGTTTCAAAGACAGATGATTCCACGTAGCAAAATAGAATGCAAGTCTCGCAGAGAGCGTTGGGATGGCCAGGTGAATTTCTGTGGAAACACTGATCACGTGGAGGCAAAAGAGGTCACTGTAGGCATGTTTAAGGAAGGAGACAATCACATGCCCGTTCTATGAGAAACGATATTGGGTATGTATACGCAAAAAAAAGAAAGAGTAGGGGTGCTGTTTCGAAGGCAACGCTTTGTGTGGTGGAACGAATTCTGACTGAATATATTTTCATGCAAGGGCAAGTCGTTGTGTGTTGGTGTGTGTGTGTGTGCAGACTATGCTTGCGGGTGCATATGAACAAATGTGCAAGTGCAAGCTTGAGTGTTACCACATCATGCCATATTGTACCGTACCATACCATACCATTTCATACAGTGCCAGTGCTGATTAAAGGGAAAAAGAAAGAAGGAATAAAAACAACTACATATAGACAACAAAGGGTGCGGATGTTAGCCTCGGCACACTCGCCATCGACCGAGCCCCGCCTGGCAGGCTCTTCTGGGCCTGGCCAGAATGGCTCGCCTTCAAACCCTTTTGAGCAAAAGATGTGTGGTTGCCTCTTTACGGGGGCCTCTTTGCTTCCAGAGACCCCCTGCCTGTCGGACCGACCCAACTGACGTTCTGTAAGCAAAGTAATACAGGAAAACCAGGCAACCCTGGCAAACGGCGCAGAACTAGGCCCAACTGAAAGAACACTGGCTGAAAGTTGAGTGACACACACATTTTTGCTGGTGTTGTTTTGCCTGCCAGGGCTTGTATATGTTGACCTTGCCCTCTTGCTCCCCGCGCCTCTCTAAGTTCTGCCCCGGTACTGTACAAACAACAGCCAGTAATCAGTCATGACGCAAGCTGCTTTGCTCGTTTAGATTCAAGCACTTGGACTGGCCAGAACACTTTTTTTCAGACGAGCACGGGCGCTACCGCAAGCCCACCAAAGCTCTATGAAGCCTCAAGTTGAAGACACCCAGCACAGCAAGCTCCTGATTCCACAATCACCGCAAAACTGGCAGGCCACACGCACTTGCCCGGCCTTCCCGCCCATCAAAGATGAAAGGTCTGCCCTGAGGTAAGCACCATCTTTGAACTGCAACCTCAACTCGGGCCGATCTGCGCCATGCTTCCACAAAACTTCTTTAGCAAGGCCGGCCTGAAAGACCGAGGGACCCCTCCCAGGCTACCGAGCTGGGAGACAAGCACCCGACTCTCTCTTTTAAACGTCCTTGGCCAAAACATCTTGGTGCGAGCTTGAGCTCCAGTTCGGAGTTAGAGGATCTGAAAAATCGGGGCCCGTGGAGAATGGGGCCACTAAGCCGAAGGAGGAAGGGATCTCAAAGGGCGAAAGCCAAAATTGGTCGGCGGTCGGCGGTCAGGGGACCCATCATGTCGAGGTGTGAGAGGGAGCGTGTATTCGTCTGGAAACAAACAGGCAGGTCAATGCAAATTGGAGCTGACCCAGCATGTCAAAGTTGATCTGGTGTTTTTTGGAGTCACATCCATGCAAGGCCTGTGAAGGATGGCACGCAGCGCTGCTGCAGTACACAACAAACTCTTTCCAACAAAGTTGGATCACAACTCCTACGATCAGCTGTATGCTCCTCTTTGCCGTGTTTTGCACAACCAGCCGTCAAAAACACACCCCTCCTTCAATCTATTACTATCACGAGACAAAAGCTGGTGAGCAAATTCGAGTCAAGCCAACCGAGGGTCGTACATGAGCCAGCAAACTGCCTCCTGAACGGTAACTCGCCCCACTACCTTCCAATTGTCATTTAGCAGTGGGCGTTTCAGGCCCAACCCAGCAAAACGGCATTCCTCCAAATTGGCCCCCAAAAAAATGACAGGGTTTAGAATAACATTCTGCCAAAGCAATCCGAAGGCAAGCATAAGCTCACGTACCGATCCCAAAGCTGTCCTAAACCGAGTCCTGAACCAACAAGACACCAACACCAGCGGTCAAATCTCCCAACAAATCTGAACCACGTGAAACAGCGTGAAACCACGCACATAGACACGCCAGTGGGCTGCCTACTTCGGCAAACCCAGTGCGCTGCCATGAGCTAACCAAAAAAGTGCAAGCACTTGAGACAGTGCCAAACTCACACGTAATCAATGAAGTCTCAATGAATCACCCCCCTCGGAAGCTGCGCAAAGCAGCCCAGCTCTGGGCACCACTACTGTTGCCTTTTCAGCTGTTCGACCCCAGGCAACGCCGCTGTTGTTCACTGCATGGAAAAACCACCAATTGCTAATTGCAAGCCACACTGAGTAGCACGGTTCACACTGAGTGATTCCAAGAATCATCTGATGAACAGGACATCCACAAGCAATTCCGGAGCCTCAAACCTGACAAAATGCCGGCCACATTGCCCCTTTGCAGCCAGGTTGCAGCGGTGACAAGATGTGCACTGCAGGCCCTCCTGCGACAAATTTCACGGCAAGTGCGGCCGAAAACACGTACTCGGATGGATGGCTTTCATGTTGCATCCTGTGGGCCCAAGGTATTGCTTTTCCGCTACCTGAAGCACACCCAGCTGCCATGGGTTGCCGTCAACATGCCTGTCAAGTCACAAACTGCTATCGTCTAAAACGCGTGTAAGGTAAAGTTGTCTGCGACAACGAGGCTGAGGAGTGAAAAGGACCGAACTCGGCTGGCGCACAAAGCATTGCCCTAGCATAACAGAATCAACAATGCCTTTGATACAAGCGCAACACAGGCTGAAGTTTCTAAAAATGCAAAAACTATAGTCTCATGCCCCTTTCTCTTTTCATTTTTCTCTTTTCTCTTTGCTCTTATACCTCTTTTCTCTTTTCTCTTATCTCTTTTCTCGCCCCCTCTCTCTCTCACTCTCTCTCCGTCTCTCTTTTTCTCTCTTCCTGCCACGAAACTCCGTACCTTACCTTGCGAAAGCGCTACGCTACGCCTGCCACGAAATCTGCACCTTACCTTGCGAAAGCACTGCGCCTGCCACGAAGTGGGAGGGGGGGGGGCGACAGCCCCTCCCATGATGTTCGAAGAAGCGCAGGCGTACAGACCTACATATACGTACATGCATACATACATACTTACATACCTACATACCTGCATACCGACGTACCTACATGCCTACATACCTACCTACCTACCTACCTACTTACATACATACATACATAAACATAAACATAAACATAAACATAAACAGAGAGGAACTGGTGATGCTGAGGATGTGGGAAGCCAAGGCCAAAAACCAACTGGAAAAGCAGAGAATGCGAAAAGCCAAACCCGAAAAAATCACCGTAAACAAATAAATAAGCGGCAGAAGTCAAAAAAGCCGAAAAGCCACCCTCCCCCCCAAAAAAACACTTTACACAAAACAAAAACACGTCCTAAACAAAATGGCCCTCCTTTCTATTCCCTCACCACACGCCAAACACACATTCATTCCTTCTTCATCTTATCTGTGCGCAAACTATCTGCATACGCTATCTTCTCGCATAGGCCATCTGATCTTCTGTAAGCTATCTGCAAGAGCTGTCTTTTCGCTTGCGCCATTTGATCTTCTGAAGGTATCTATAGTTTCAGTACGGAAGTGTCTTCTAAACTTCCTTTGATCAGTAAGTGCTAGTGCCAGCGCTACTCACACTGCGAGCAAGCATGCTACAACGACCGCAGCAGGCTCCAGCCCTTAGTGCAATATCACTGCCAGCGCAAGCTCCCGACAGCACGTATGGGAGGTGCAAGCAAAAGCCCGGGCTGACATGCCGGCGATGTGGGTGGCTGCTGCGGGAATAAACATTCCCGTCTTTCCTGCTTGCCGTGCGAGTTACCGCGCGCCTGGCAGTTGTTGTCGCCATGATCCCTGGCCGGGATGCACAGGAACACCCCAAAGGCAAGGCCTGCTGCCTCGACCCGTGCTACGTGTACCCGCCCATGTAAGGAACTCACTCCAAAGGACAAATTTATTGAATTGCGCGAATTGCAAATGCAATCATGGTCAGGTTTCAAAACGAGGAATCTCAAATCTGGTTCAGTTGTTTCTGTAGCCAATGGGTGCACAATCATGACTGTACGCAACTGCCACAAGCGATGGGCCATTCTACCTAGGCAAGGTGATTCACCGATTCAGGGGCTTGCAATCTGTCAATCTTTCAATTGAAGTGTTGCAAGGTGACTGAAGCATGAGCAGGTCACCCAAGAAAGCCCTGCTACAAGCGCTGATGCAAAGGGACTCACGGCGCGTTACAACGCTCGAAGTCTGGAAGTCTCTCTGCGACCAAGCAGCACGTCTCCCAAGGAAAAATGAGATGCCTCCGGAGCCTCCGGCCCCAAAGAAAAGAGCTCGGACCACAAGTTGCATCCAACCCACTGGACACAGGGCGCAAAGCGAACGACGCAAAGCGAAAGACCCGCACCTGCAGGGGGCGGCGCAGGTGAAGGGATGTCCCAGTGATCCAATCGATGGCAACATCTCCAGCGACCTGAGACATGTCCGACCCTCTTTTTCTCACGGCTGGCAAGCCCCAAAGGTGCAAACACATAGAAAGCGTGCCCTTCAGCTTGAAGTCCAGTTCAAAGGAAAGCTGTGTCGGACGCTGGTGTGGATCGAAGTGCCCGCATTTGTGGGGATATGAGTACGCCAGCAATGAAAGACTGAAAAGCAGAAAGCGGAAATGACAAGCACTGAAGGACCCTGCACACGGAAAGAGACTCCCAGCGAGCGCACCGATCAACAATAGTCTAAGCCGTTGGCACAATTGGGTCCGTCTTCTTTTGTCCACAAAACCCCCTATTTGAGCCTAGTTGATTGGTTTTAAACGAAAACCAGAAGGAAAACCACCGGTCCAATTGCGCAAGTTTCGCCCAAAAGCTGCCTTTCCTGGCACAGAGGCCTCCTCCAACCCAGGAAAGCCTGGCATATCAAATAACACTGGTTCGTCCAAGTGAATACCGCGAAGATTACAGCGACAGGTCCCATAGCACAAAGCTTCGAATCCCAAGCGGTATGGAGGTGCAACGAGATGTCCCCAAAAGGAATGTTGAGGGCCGCAAAGGCAGCCTTGCAGCTATCTCTACCTCTACTGTACTCGTAACAGTGCACAGAATCAAACAATCAAACTGAGTGATGGAGAGGCATGCATGCCAGAGCTGGTTCGTTGTCTCATGATTCATCACTTCGCCATAGTAAAACATGCGCCATATGTTTTTCCCAGACTCGAAACGTCCCAACACTCAATTAGACTTGACAATACCAAACCAACTCCCAGGTTTCCCGCCGACCCACATTTGTAGAACCCACACTAGAAAGTACTAAACGACTACTAAACCGATACAAGACAAATCTGACCCAAGGACTGCAGTGAACCCCCCACCCGCCCCGGTGCACAAATGCATGTTATTAACAAATATCGTTTGGCTATTCATTAGGGGGGGGGGAGTCCATATCATTGTTCTGGTGGCACCGAGCGCCAACGCAAAGGTGCGGTCTGCACACGACTCTTGCCCATATTGGCCTCGCAAATGCAGCCAGAATCCAAGAACTACGAGACTTTATATATTTTTGCGCATCTTGGAGAGATTGATGGTAGTCCCAATCCTGGTGTTGACATGGGTGTGTCTTTTTTGAGAATCCCTTTTTGTTGGTTTTAAAGGGAAGCAACACGAAAACCACCATTTTGGGAGTCCAACATGTCCAACCTTAAAACAGACACACCCATATGCCGCCCTTTGAAGTGCGTGTGACCTGGATGAATAGAAGCCAGCTGTAGAAAAAAAGCTCGACCCCTGGCCGTCCCTCAGACAAGCTGCTCTGCGCACTGCGACTCGCTAAGGAGCTTGAGTGGCAACGGGAGAGGCCTCAATGACCCAAGCCGCAAGGAAGCCTAGCCTCAGCCCCTAGCGGTTGAGTCTCCACAAAAGCTGCTGGAAGGGAATCCAGAAGTTGCTTTTTGGATTGAAGTAGATGCGCTTTTTCTGGCGAGCTGCGTCATGCAAAAGCCAACTGGCAAAAGCCTCCATTCATTCACATCCTTTATTGGCGGCCTCCTTTCCTCGCATCTGTTGGCATGAACACGAAGCCTGGTGGAATTGCCAGACAGGTTCCATTGTGCCAGTGGATTCCACGGCACTGAGCAAGGCTCCACTTGGGGATCCCGGCGAGGCATGCGTTCCGTGCTCCTCCTCGCAGTCCTGTCGGGATGTACATTGTCCGGATGGGCTCGGATGGGCCATTTGACTCCGAGTGCCTGGGTGTCACTGGCCATCACATTTAATGCAAAGCAACACACGGGAACTCGTTTGCGCATCTTAACCTTCAGTCGGGCCATCGAGACCTGAGCCATTCTAGTCCGAACGTTGGACTGTCAGCCTCTCACCACGCGTCCTCGGAACCAAAACTGGGGAGGAGCCCGGGAGCATGGACGCTGAAGGCCTGGCCAGAAACAGCGAGCAAGCTTCTTGAATGGAAGGTGGCTGGTGGCTTCGAAAAATGGAACGGGCTCCAGGCATGAAGCCCCGGATGTGACAGATAGAAAGCACACCCGTATCTGCTCACCACGTTTCACCTCATTGCAAATTAGGCAACCAAGAGCAACAAACAGCACTGGACGTCACTAGAGACGGAAGTGTTCAGGTGTTTCACTGAATTGTCCTCCATGCTTTGAAACCTGTATCATCCCGGTTTGCAAAGCAAAAACAACCTAACAACATGCTGTGGTCGAGTGCCAATGCCTGCGTGCCGTTCTGCTCAGGCGGGTTCTTCAAGCCATCCCGTCGCCATTGGCAGAAGTGGCCTTGAAGTGAAGCGAACAAACTGACATGCTAACTCCAAACAGGCCGTGCTCGCAGAATCTAGAAGCCAAGGTGTATGAAAGCAGGCGAAGGGCTGCAAAAGTCAGCTGCTCCTCACTCATCTCCTTGCTTCTAGCTGAGTATTGATAGTTGACCGTCAAAGCCATCCTATTCTTGCAAGCCCCGCAATATTACAATGTATTATGCACAAATGCAGGCAAGGAAAGCGCGAGGTAAAGAGGGTGGTCTCTCTACGCGTCCACAATGGCCAGGAGACACTTGGGGCAGGCTGCCCCGTCTCTGCAGCCGCCCTTGCGACGTACATACTTGCCTCAGACAGGAGAAGCGGACTAAACAAGCCATGAAGTCTGTCATCCCGACAAAGAATACTTGTCCTACATGCAAATTGTCACAGGGCAACCGCCTAACCATTGGAACACCGGATGTAAACAAGACAGGTCTGCGACAGGTTAACCTGTCCACAAAAGCCGCTGCCACATTCTTGTGCTGCCCAGTCGCAAGCACCAGCACACCTGAATGCAGAGCGGCAAGCTTTTCAGACCCTACACGCTCGACGGACAGCAAGACGGTATAATTTCGATAGTCACGTGAGGGAAATATGTTTTCGTTCGCCATAGGGTTGCAAGCCGAAAGGAAAAGGATCTCTCCCTATTGTCTTGCATCAAGCAATGGGAATCAACCAACCGCCAACCGTGTGCAAAAGCCTCTGCCAGTCTGCTTATTGCCTAGCCCACAAACTTGACTCTGGAGTATTTTTTGGGTGTGGGTGGGCATTCTCTGATCCAAGCTCGCTTGGAAAAACACAAGCTGTGGATCTCCACGCACTAAACATGCTACGAGCCTTCTGGGACATAATGGATGATTGTTTGTTTCTTTTCAGCGGGCGCCGAAACAAATCACGGCATGTATCCAAACGGGCTCAGCCTCTGAAATGGATACAAACAGGGTTAGTATTGCTATTATTCCAGCCAGGAGGCAACCATCTAACATTGCCATCCTTCAACATCAAGTTGTCACAACATCTTGTTCAGTACGCCCGCTCAGAGGCGAGCAAAGAAGGAGCTAGGCTTCCCATCCAAGTGGGACTCAAAGGTCAGTCAACCACCTTCGCACATCGAAGGGACAATCCAAGCTCGAGGCTAAAGTCCCGCGCCTGTTTGGATGGCCCTGGCTTCCCTCTGATAGGGGCAGCACCTGAACCGGAATGTGAGACACGCGCACACACACACACACACAAAGACACACACACACACACACCCACGCCCGCCCGCACACACGCACAGAGAGAGAAAGAGACACGGGGATCTGTGAAACTTCGGGACGCACGCGCGAATCGATTCGAATCCACATCTTGGGCGAGAGGGTTGGTTTCCACTAAAATGGTCTTCCAAAAAAGTGTGAAGTCCATGAACTCAGGAAGTGAGTTCATGATCCTGGAAAGCAGAGCTAAGATTCTCATGTCGACGCTTCCGTTGGAAACTAGGATCAAGCTTATTCTACCTCGATTCCTCGATGACGTGGTGGAAAACATTCAAGGCTGTGATAACAACTAAGTTTGCTGACCGAGCACTGCACCATGGACTTATGATAGCGCGGGGTGCTTGAATTGGAAAAGCATACGCTGATATGTTTGGTCCTTTGAGTTCTGTTCAGCCCCAGGCCAAGCCGGCTTGGACTCACATCGACACTACGTCTGACCCAAGGGAAGTCAGCCTGGCGTGGACATCGAATCACCACCAAACTCCAAAAGTTGGAATTTCCAGCCTCAGGGCCCATGTGGGACGGATTCGGCGCTTTCTCCTCCCCTCGAGCCTGGCGCTCGTTGACATGTTGGATGTGCTCAAAGGATGAGACGAGCATTTCGTAGCCCGGGCCACAAAGCACGCCGAAACAACTATTGCTTCGTGAGATCTGGAACCTAAAACTCTCTCTGCAAACAGAACACGAGATTCCCATGCGCCCCAAGCAAGAAGTGCTTCTGACACGGCTGTCTTGACTCCGCATCCTTAAAGCCAGCAACCGACCAGAAAGTGACTGCCACCAACCCGCGTGCTTTCTGTCTTCACTATGTGGAGTTCCGCCGCCTCACTGAGCAGACCACTGAAGAGAACTGTGAAAAGAGAACCCCCAGTGCAAAGAACCCTGGGCAAACTGCGATCAAATAACACTCTTTCCTAGCAAACTGTCTTGAAGAATTCATCACCATGCCTTCATTCTGCAAGCCTGTTTAAAAAGAAATGCTTACTTGCATACAGTGATTCCATCAAGTCTTGAAGAATCGCTCATGAATCGACGATTGGCGCCTTGGTCCAGAAGCACTCATGACAGCACGGGCAGTTTGCTCCGTCTCGGCAGCCGCCCTTTCGCTTGACCTCAAAGGCAGCACCACACGACCCAGCACAACGGACTTCTTGCATTGAGCTCGCTTTTTCCCTTGGAATGCCCACTCTTCGCTTGAGCGAAGTGTTTGCTTGCGCCTCAGCTTGATGGTCGCCTGCGAACGACCTTGTCAGGTCTCCAGGAATGTATGTTGGACGCGAAGCTGAACTCATTGGCCACATACCGGAGCTTTCAGGCTTGTTATATTGCTCAAAGATGTGATGGATGCTGAATGCTGAACCTCACCTTTGATTGTCCCAATTGGGCAAACAATTGCTGCAATGGTTCACACAAAATGGGCACTTCCACGATTCCTTCAATTAGAAAAGCTAAGACAAAGGTAAACATTGACAACTCAAACAAGCCAGCACAAGTAACCTTTTACGCGCCGATGCGTGCCTTGAGCCATTCATGGAATGGCCCTGTCATGCCAAATGACTGGGCTTCATAGCCAAAGGTATCAAAACTTTGCCAGTGAACTGAATTCAGCAAAGCGTTTGAGAGGACCGAACGCCTCTGTGCATGCAAGTGGCATATCTGCAGGGTCGTGCACACGTAAACGGGTGGCCGACCTCGGGCCGTGGGAAAAAGAACAAAAAACTAACTTCGCGGTCGAATGGAACCGCTGATATGCCCAACTCGTGAGGGAATAGCTCAAAGCCATTGATTCGAGGAAAGCTGAGGAACAGGGTCAGCATGGCCAACCCGCTGAATCTTCGACCGGCAGAATTGCACTTTAAATTGTCTCATCCCTGCCAGCTTATTAGCAAACATGTTGGGTCCTGGATGAACATTTATGGCATACATGTATACACCTGCGCATATTATCTCTCTCTCTCTCTCTCTCTCTCTCCATCTCTATATGTATATGTATATATATATATATATACATCTCTCTATATATATATGTGCACCCCACCCCCCGCCGCCAAAACCCACGCCTGCTGCTTATGTACGAGGGCCAAGTCATTTTGGACAGATATTTTCACAAGTGGGTTCATTTCACAATTCTGGCAGACTTTCACAGAGGAGTCATTAAGACTTTGCAACCCATATGGATAGCAGCTGCCCCTCCAGAATCTGAGGAAATTGTCTGTGGTATTCCTCCTCTTGATTGTTTTCCAATTATTTCATACATATTCTGGTCATGCACTCAAGCTATTTCGACACAAATTAATTGGACAATTAGAATCATGAGCAAAGTTTGGTACAGTGTGAAAGTGAAGTTAGGTAACGTGTCATGTAAAACAGGGTCTAGACCATAATATGTCATACATACATCTCTGAAGTGTTCAGGCATACCCCTTCTGCTTCGCCTACACATCTTCGATTTCTCAATCCAACTGATGTGCAAACTCCTCTTGGTCTGTCAACTTACAAGCCTGCAGCAATACCAAAACATCTGCTACGCATGCATCCTCCATCTCTCATCTCATCTCATCTGCAAGTCCCCTTCGTCTGTCAGCTCACAAACCTTGGCCCATACCAAAACATCTGCTCACACCTCATGTGCCCTGACCGGTGTTTACAGTGTTTGTTCATGTCCAAGGGTTAGTGTGGAGTGTTTTAAGCCATTTAAAACATATCCAATGTCCATATGCTGAACTGTCAACTGTATTTACCGCGCACATGTCATAAAAGGAGCATCAGGAATGACTGAAAGCAGATGCTTGAAGGCGCTTTAAAGCACATGTTCTCATCTAAGATTCAAGATTCAAGATTCCCAGGACTCTAGATCTTGAATCTTGAATCCAGTATGCGACCCCCCAAAACGCTTTAAAGCGCTTTAAAGCACATTTTGATCTAAGATTCAAGACTCCCTGTATTGGTACATAGCATTCATACACACCTGTAGGTACATACATGCAGTCATTGCTGTTGTTAGTATACCCCTAGTGGCTGCGCACGAATGCTATCAACCCGAGTCACGGCTGCATCCCTTCCTCGCGGCAGCCCCTTGAGCGGGCTTGCGGCAACTCAAAACAAATTTGGTGCAGTGTTCATTTGAGAGACTTGAGGGTATTGAAAAGGAAAAGGAGCAAGTAACCTTCCGTGATTTCTCCTTCTTTTCTTCTCCTGCTCGTTTTGGGGGGGCGGGGGTTTGGCGAGGGGGGGTTGCCTCGCATTTGTGCAGGAAGCCTCGGGAGGCGGGGGGAAGGAGGTCGCTTTGCCGCCGCGGCACGGTGCCCAGGGAGCTCACCTCAGCGAAAACCGAAATCGCAAGTGGGAGGGACTTGGTTGCTGCTAACCCCTCTGCAAAAATGTTTAACTTTTTGTGGGGTCAATGGAAAACCCGTAATTTCCCAAAAAGTTGAAGTCTAAAGATTAACCCAGTAGCAATCCAGGGGAAACACCCCAAATGTTTCCATGTCCCAGGGACACGAAGCGAGCAACGCCTTTGGGATAATGTCAACAGAAGACCATGGTAAGGCGGGCTACGGTCTAGGGCCTGGGTCATGAAAACGGCCTCTGCATTCATGAAAGCCTGAGCCATGCCACACCGTATCCTGCCGTTGCATCCTTGCATCTACATGCGGCGTGTTGACACTGAAAGGGCACCCCATCTTAGGGAGTATCCCCTGGATTCCAACGGTGAAGCACGATCTCCGCCAGAGTGCTGGATTGCGGATAGTCAGAGTCAAACCGAGAACGAGGTGCAAGTAACCGTTCGTCTTGTCCTGTCGCTTGTTGTATCATTCAAACGATCAGTGGACGTTGCAGGGTCACCAATGAAAAATCCACAGTTGTCAGAGTATGTATGGTCACCGCTGAACAAGAATCCAGCTCAAGTAGGGCACCACTGTTCCGTGGACAGTTGGTAGGATCATGCGGGAAGGGGGAGGGGAGAGAGAGAGAGAGAGAGAGGGTGAGAGTGAGAGTGCGAGTGAGGGTGAGAGTGCGAGTGAGGGTGAGAGTGCGAGTGAGGGTGAGAGTGAGAGTGCGAGTGAGAGTGAGACTGAGACTGAGACTAAGAGAGAGAGAGAGAGAGAGATATTTTAAAAAAAGACGTTCAATCTCCGTGGCCACATATTGGCCACTCATTGGCTCAAAGAAGGGAGTTGAACACTCCCCTTCTTGGAATCACTCCCTTGCCAACAAGCACAATAGCAATTGGAAGATCGTCTCAGGAGTTGCTGGCGCAACCCAGTGCTTCGAAATCAGAAGACATGCGCTGGGACCACCCGCCATTAGCTGCTGCCCAACCTAGCTGTGCGTTCCAACCGAAGTCGTAGGCAGCAAAGGCGAACTGCCGATATGGTGTTTACACTCATGGACAGCGCATGGGGGTTGTCAAAAATGGGTGCCCTTTTTGGGCTGGTTTATGTGCTGCCTTTAAAAGGGGTCCAAAAAGGGATCCATATTTTTGACAACCTCCCATGTGCACCCACGCAAAACAATGTAGTGGAAAATCATTTGCTGGCGGTTCAACTCATACGACTTCCCAATGTGTTTTTTCAGCAAAGCGATGTGATGACCGCCGCACTGGGACCAGCAAGCTGGGAAGAGGTGCCACACATCGGACCGGACCCGTGCTGTCTCAACCAGTCTTGTCCCGTCACTTCGCTCAGGTTGTGCTAAAATCAAAAACAAAACTCGCTACTCTGCCTGGCCTTTCTACGTGGCATCTGCCTTAGGGGGTCCGTCATATGATGGACGAGCTTGATCCCTCGCAATCGAAGACACGGAGCAAGTTGTGTGCAACTTACAATTTCGAAGGGTGGTTGTGTGTGTGTGTCAAACGTCCAAGGTCTTGCCAAGGCTGTCAGAAGCATCAAATGGCCAAGTCGGGCCTCAATAAACAAAGCGCTGAACATGTTGCCTTTGGGATGCCGGGGAGCTTAGCGGCCCTTCTCCCAATCGGCCAGAATGTCTGAACTCCCAACTGCATCCTGCCTTGGCAGGCCGCGAGACAGGGTGTGGTGGCGGGGGCGTATCGGCCTAACAGGCGCGCTTTTGCACCATACCACTCCAGACCCTCGGCTCTTCGTTTCCATGGGCTTCTCCGAAACAATCGAAGAGCTTCCTCCACATCTTGGGGGCTTTCATCCGTCCTTTCAGCCGAGCCCGCGTCTGGCGATTGATGCAGCTGGGCTAGTACGGGGGATTGATCTCACATTGCTGAATGTCCGTGTCACTTCAGAAGCTTCCATCACCCTTGCTTTGTCACTGAGGGAAACTCAAAACTAGAAAGCCCATTTTGAACTACTGGGCTCCAAAATTTCAAACATTCACTGTGAGGGACCCAGTGGGTGTCAAGGCGTCAAAGGCCCGACCCCTGCCCCTGCGCCCTGCGGTGCTGCGCCCCGCCTCGAATATAAAATTCCGTCCGGACTCCTGAGTCAATGCCAGCCGTCCATTCCGAGCACTCGAGCGCTTGAAGTTTTGTTGTCTCGCAAACCAGCTAATGGACAACTCATCCCTCATGCGGGCCGGACCCTCCAGTATGCAAATGGACACTCCCAAAAAACAAACTCCGGTCAAGCTACAACTTGCAAAATAGGGAATAGATATCCAGCCTCACCCATCCAGCAGGCAGTGGATGGCGATAAAAAGGCCAGCACCAAAGAAGCAGGGGAAAACGAGTGCACAGTACTAACAAGCTTCAAACACACGAACTTTCAGTATTCCAACATGCCAAACTAATACTACATTGCGCGCGGCACGCCGGATCCATTTCGGGCAGCGGTCCATGTTGGTTCAATAATGGAGCTCGCTGAGCTTGGCGAGTCAATTGTGTACACGAAGGCTTGACCAAGTTTCTTCGTGCTGGCTCGTGCTTTGTTTGAGCAGATAGAACTTGAAACAAACAGATTGTCAATGTTTAGGCTCTCCCCCACATCGCACTCTTTCACAAACCCCCTGTCTTAGTCAGCACCTTCCCATGCTGACTATTGCCCGTAAGCCAGCATTCAAGGAAAGCCACATCGGAGGCTATGACATGGCCCACCTGGCAAACCTCAAACTCTGCACCCGGCTAGCGGCTGGCACAAATTGACACCCCCGCGCCTCAGGCAAGGTCAGCCTGGAGGTCGAGATCATAGTCTCGTTCAGGGCCTCAGCAAATCCCGCGATGTGTTTTGCCTGATGCCCAGTCGCGAAGTGGTCCTGAGGGACACCCTGGAAAACATCGGCATCAAGTTGCGGCAAGTGTTGTGCCGACGCTAAAGAGCGCAACGTCATTGATAGTGTGCGGTCACCACATGGGCCCCAAATCAAGGTTGCTTCGGCAGTGAGACGTGGGCCACATGCGCCATAATTGCTGTGCCCAGTAGTAGGAACCTTCAGAAGGGCTATCACTGCACTTCTGCAGTCTCCCAAACAAACCTCTGGCGAAAACAACACAAACGTTCATCTAACTGAGAACCCGAAACAAGGGCCAAATTGAGAAACGCCCTGTGTGTGTGTGTGTGTGTTGCTGATTGGTCTGAGTTAAACGTGAAAAGCAAAATCGCAAACTCTTGTGATATAGGTATTCCATCTCTCTCACCATCGCCAAACGCTGCCAACCTTGAATGGTTTTGCTGCAGGTGAGTCTCGGTCTTGTCCTTGGCATTTGCATTAAGACTAGTAAGACTAACAGGTGACTAACATGAAGGGGGTGCAAGAACCTTGTCCCAGAAAGCGACGGGAATGGGAAGGGGAGTTGGGACTGGGCTATTCTAAATCGTCGAAAAACCTGAGCGCCGCGCCTTGCAGGGAACCGAGAAGCTTGTCATGCCTGCCTTGGCTGCGCATGCACCCCCAGGCAAAGAAAGCTCCTGTTGAACCTTTGGAATTCTCCCGGCCGAAACCAAAAATACACTGAACAGGACAAGAAAGCTGACATCCAAGGCGTGTTCATGTCTTTTGAAGGCTCAAGCGCCGTTGTTGCGGCAGGGCCTGCTTCAGCTGGCCCCTTCCACATGCATCTGAAACCTAGCCTCGCCGCATGACAAGCTTGTGAGACAGGGCATATCCCGCCATCGCGTGCTGAATCCCACACCAAGAGCCCGTGCCGAAGCAAACGCAACAGAAAAGATGCCCGTTTCCGGCCAAGGCCCAAAGCCCATGAAGCGAATGTAAGGGCAAGCCTGACCTTGCCCTCTCAAAAGCTTGCACCAAACTTCGTTCTCAAATCGGCATCCCCAACCTGTGAATTTTCAGCTCTCCGCAAAGGCTCCCTTTTGACACACACGCGGGCCTGAAGCTGAGATATCTTGTCGAGAAGGTCCACTGTGTTCAAAAAGCCTGCCGAGAAACCACGGTGATCCGCATTTCACGAGGGGTTTTCATGAGCCACAGGCTTGGCAAGGAACCTTCCATCCATTTCACCGGTGCCTATCGGCAATCGAAGCATATGAGCCAAAGCTCCTTACCATTTTGTGTGGCTCCCTTATCCACTTGGAGCGCGTGTCATGATTGTCTGAATTCCCTCTAAGGGGGGGTGATGGCCATCACTACAAACCTCAAGTAAAGGGAGCAAATATCGTGGCAGAACTATCAGGCTCGAAACATATTTCACTGTTCATCCAATCCAGCCCCCCCCAAAAAAAAAATGTTTGAAACAAAAAAAAAATGATACCCCAAAAACACAAGGGATAAGGCGGCCCCCGATGAAGCTTGGGGTGAGAACGGGTTCTTTGGTAGAAAGTGCCTCTTAAAAGGGCGTTGCTGCAATGGATAGTTCGCGCCGCTTGTACCGCCTTGTATCTGCGTGCCTACTTTCAATCCACCGAGTGCAGTGTAAACAAACAGTCGGCTTTGGCTGAACATAACAAAAGGATCATGAGAAAGGAAGCAGCCAGAGTCGCTCTCCAGTTGCTGCTTGAGTGACTGTTCTCGCGATTATGCTGAGTCCGAGAAGGTAGGGGTTCATGCAAAAGATATTCTCTGAGTTGCACGGGAACGAAACTGGCCAGCAGTTGAACCCATAGCTCGAGCAGGTCCAATACTGTCCAAAACCGATCGTTAAAATGCCAAGCACACCGGGAATTTGATAGCATCGTGCGTAAGGTCTACATTCTCCATCGTGATCAGGTCTTCAAGCCAAGTGGAAGCATGATTGCTACGGGTGGTCAATAGTGAGGCCACTTCTCCAGTGAAACACACAACCAGGATACTCTTTGTGTCGTATGCGCTCAGGGTCCCTCCGTTTACTAACGTGGCCATGACAGCTCTCGTCAATCCTTCGGCGCCGCCTGCAGTTCCAGTGGGTGTCTGCTCTCCGTCCGGCAAAGCTCCGGTGCACTGCGTCTGAGCGGCGTTCGTCGCTGGGAGTGTGGAAAGCTGCGCTGGGGCTTGCTCTGCCCATGATAAATGAGAGGGGATCAAGGCAGCCTGTGACTTTTGAATTGGGTAAAAAAGAAGCAAAGCAAGCAACATCCACGCTCAGGCCTTCCTGTTTCCCAGCCTCCAAACCCTCTGCATGAATTGCTGCCAGTGCCTTGATTGCTCCAAAGATTGCCACCATTCAGCTGCTGTCATGTTGTGTAAACGAAACATGTGCAGGCATCTCTGGAAACGCTCGCCTTAGACTTGGTTTCATCCGATCCTTTGCTTTCAAGCTGGGTTCGCCGGCCCACGGGGGTGGCAAAGGCGTCATGATACCCTGGGCACGATCCGCTGTTACGGCGCGGCTTTCCGGGATGCCAAAGACCTCTCATGCTACATCAAGATGGGTCTGCCTTGGGGTTAAGCCAAGGTATTTCCCCGTTTGGCTTCCCTTCAGACAGCAACACACATGGAGGACGCGATGTCGGCTGTGGGCAAAGAAGAAATGCCATCGAGCTATCAACCTGGGATAGGTCTGAGTTTAAAAAAGGAGCATGCAAACTCTTCCATTTCCGAAAGCTTGGCATTTCTTGCAAAGCCCTGATGCAAGATGCCACCAACGTGCCACCAACATGCCACCAACGTGCCACCAACGTGCCACCAGCATGCCACCAACATGCCACCAACGTGCCACCAACGTGCCACCAACGTGCCACCAACGTGCCACCAACATGCCACCAACATGCCACCAACGTGCCACCAACGTGCCACCAACGTGCCACCAACGTGCCACCAACATGCCACCAACATGCCACCAACGTGCCACCAACATGCCACCAACGTGCCACCAACGTGCCACCAACATGCCACCAACGTGCCACCAACGTGCCACCAACATGCCACCAACGTGCCACCAACATGCCACCAACGTGCCACCAACATGCCACCAACATGCCACCAACATGCCACCAACGTGCCACCAACGTGCCACCAACATGCCACCAACATGCCACCAACGTGCCACCAATGTGCCACCAACGTGCCACCAACATGCCACCAACATGCCACCAACATGCCGCCAGCGTGCATAGCATGCCACCAACATGCCACCAACATGCCACCAACATGCCACCAACGATGCCACCAACATGCCACCAACATGCCACCAACATGCCACCAGCGTGCCACCAGCGTGCCACCAGCGTGCACCTGCGCGTGCCGCAGCACCAGCGTGCCATAACATACCACCAACATGCCACCAACATGCCACCATCATGCCACCAACGTGCTTTTGTTGGAATATAAATGCCACCAACATACACCAACATGCCACCAACATGCCACCAACGTGCCACCAACGTGCCACCAACATGCCACCAACATGCCACCAACATGCCACCAACGTGCGTGCCACCAACATGCCACCAACATGCCACCAACATGCCACCAACATGCCACCAACGTGCCACCAACATGCCACCAGCGTGCCACCAGCATTACCTGGCGATGCCACCAACATGCCACCAACATGCCACCAACATGCCACCAGCGTGCCACCAACATGCCACCAACATGCCACCAACATGCCATAGTGCACCAGCGTGCCACCAACATGCCACCAACATGCCACCAACATGCCACCAGCGTGCCACCAGCGATGCCACCAACATGCCGCAACATGCCACCAGCGTGCCGCAGCAGCTACCACCAACATACCACCAACATGCCACCAACATGCCACCAACGTGCCACCAACATGCGCACCAGCGTGCCACCAGCGTGCCACCAACATGCCAAATCATGCCCACCAGCGTGCCACAACGTGCCTTCAACATACCGCAACATGCCACCGCGTGCCACCAACGTGCCGCAATACCACCAACATGCCACCAACATGCCACCAGCGTGTACCAACATGCCACCAACGTGCCACCAACATGCCACCAACATGCCACCAACATGCCAACGTGCCTGCTTGTGCCATAGCGTGCACCAACATGCCACCAACATGCCACCAACGTGCCTGGCGATGCCACCAACATGCCGCCAACATGCCACCACCCGTTGCCACCGCCACCAGTGCCACCAACAGCGCCGGCACCAACGCCAGCACCGGCGTACACAGCGGCGCCAGCACCGGCGTGCCACCAACATGCCACCAACATGCCACCAGCGTGCTGCCACTTAGCGTTAACACCAGCGTGCCACCAACATGCCACCAACGTGCTGTCTCAATGCCACCAGCGTTGCCAGCACACCGCGTGCCACCAGCGTGCCACCAACATGCCACCAACGTGCCACCAACGTGCCACCAACATTCCGCCAACATGCCACCAACATGCCGCAACCACCAACGCGTGCCACCAGCGTGCCACCAACATGCCGCAACATGCCACCAGCGTGCCACCAGCGTGCCACCAACATGCCACCAACATACCGCAACATGCCACCAACATGCCACCAGCGTGCCACCAACATGCCACCAACGTGCCACCAACATGCCACCAGCATGCCACCAGCGATGCCGCCAGCGTGTACGCACCAACATGCCACCAACATGCCACCAACATGCCATAGCATTGCAACATACCACCAACATGCCACCAACGAGCCGCCAACGCGCCACCAACATGCCACCAGCATGCCATAACATGCCTGGCGTGCCACCAGCGTGCACAGCGTGCCACCAACATGCCACCAGCATGCACCAACATACCACCAACATGCCACCAACGATGCCACCAACGTGCCACCAACATACCACCAACATGCCACCAACATGCCACCAGCGTGCCACCAACGTGCCACCAACATGCCACCAACATGCCACCAACATGCCACCAGCGTGCCACCAACATACCACCAACATGCCACCAACGTGCCACCGACATGCCACCAACATGCCACCAACATGCTACCAACATGCCACCAACATACCGCCAACATGCCACCAACATGCCACCAGCGTGCCACCAACATGCCATAGCGTGCCACCAGCGTGCCACCAGCGTGCCACCAACATGCCACCAGCGTGCCACCAACATGCCACCAGCGTGCCGCAACATGCCACCAACATGCCGCAACATGCCACCAGCGTGCCACCAGCGTGCCACCAACATGCCGCAGCATACCTGCGATGCCACCAGCGTGCCACCAGCGTGCCACCAACATGCCACCAACATGCCACCAACATGCCACCAACATGCCATAGCGTGCCACCAACATGCCACCAGCGTGCCAACAGCGTGCCACCAACATTGCCAAGCAACATGCTACCAACATGCCACCAACGTGCCACCAGCGTGCCACCAACATGCCACCAACATGCCACCAACATGCCACCAGCGTGCCACCAGCGTGCCACCAACATGCCTGCCAGCGATGCCACCAGCGATGCCACCAACATGCCACCAGCGTGCACCGCCCGTGCCACCAACATGCCGCCAACATGGCACCAGCGTGCCCACCAACATGCAGCCCAACGTGCCGCCTACGTGCCACCAACATGCCACCAGCATACCCGCCAACATGCCACCAGCGTGCCACCAACGTGCACGCCACCAACATTACCAACATGCCACCAACATACCGCAACGTGCCACCAGCGTGCCACCAACGTTTACCAACATGCATAGCGTGCCACCAACATGCCACCAGCGTGCCACCAGCGTGCCACCAACATGCCACCGAAGTGCCACCAACACCACCAGCATTACCAAGACCATGCCCCCGAAAAGGGTGCGTGCCACCAACATGCCACCAACATACCGCAACAACCCCACTTTGGCATAGCTGCCTTTCCCAACGCCACCAGCGTGCCGCTTGAAGGGAAACGCCCACCAGCATTACCTGCTCACCACCAACGTGCCGCCAACATGCCACCAGCGTGCCACCAGCGTGCCCACCAACATAGCCTCACCACCATGCCACCAACATGCCACCCAGCGTCCGGGGCTGACAAGGGCGGGTCAGGTGTGTTGTCAGTTGTTTGCCACCAACGTGCCACCAGCGTGCCACCAGCGTGCCACCAACATGCCACCAACATGCCGCAACGTACCACCAGCCTACCACACCCACCAACATGCCATCAAGAAGCAACCAACAACCGCCACCAGCATTCACCACCAGCGTGCCACCAACATGCCACCAACATGCCACCAACATACCGCAACGTGCCACCAGCGTGCCGCCAACATGCCACCAACATGCCACCAACATGTCCAGCCTCCAACACCAACGTGCCACCAGTGCCACCAACATGCCTGTAGTACCACCAACATGCCACCAGCGTGCCACCAACTGCCACCAGCATTACCACCAACATGCCACCAGCGTGCCACCAACATGCCACCCGCGTGCCACCAACATGCCACAACGCTGCCACCAGCGTGCCACCAGCGTGCCTGCGCGCATTACGCAACATGCCACCAGTTGCCATTCACCACCAACAGCCATAGCATTTATCACCGCGTATGCCACCAACATGCCACCAACGTGCCACCAACGTGCCACCAACATACCGCAACGTGCCACCAGCGTTCAGCATGCCACCAACATGCCACCAACATGCCTGGCATTGCCTGTAGCGTGCCACCAACATACACCAGCGTGCCATAACATACCACTAGCGTGCCACCCAGCGTGCCACCAACATGCCACCAACATGCCACCAGCGTGCACCAGCGTGCCACCAACCATGCCACCAACATGCCGCCAACATGCCACCAGCGTGCCACCAGCGTGCCACCAACATGCCACCAGCGATGCCACCAACGCCGCACCAACATGCCACCAGCGTGCCACCAACAGCGCCACCAGCGTTGCCACCAACATGCCACCAGCGTGCCACCAACATGCCACCAACATGCCACCAACGTGCACCCACGCACTAGCGTGCGCAGCGTGCCATAGCATGCCACCAGCGTGCCGCAACTGCTGCTGGCGTGCTTCTAGCGTGCCGCCAACATGCCACCAACGTGCCACCAACGTGCCACCAACGTGCCACCAACATGCCACCAACATGCACCAACATGCCACCAACGTGCCACCAACGTGCCACCAACATGCCACCAACGTGCCACCAACATGCCACCAACGTGCCACCAACGTGCCACCAACATGCCACCAACGTGCCACCAACGCCACCAACGTGCCACCAACATGCCACCAACGTGCCACCAACGTGCCACCAACATGCCACCAACGTGCCACCAACGTGCCACCAACATGCCACCAACATGCCACCAACGTGCCACCAACGTGCCACCAACATGCCACCAACATGCCACCAACGTGCCACCAACGTGCCACCAACATGCCACCAACGTGCCACCAACGTGCCACCAACATGCCACCAACATGCCACCAACATGCCACCAACGTGCCACCAACGTGCCACCAACATGCCACCAACGCCACCAACGTGCCACCAACGTGCCACCAACGTGCCACCAACGTGCCACCAACATGCCACCAACGTGCCACCAACGTGCCACCAACGTGCCACCAACATGCCACCAACGTGCCACCAACGTGCCACCAACGTGCCACCAACATGCCACCAACATGCCACCAACGTGCCACCAACGTGCCACCAATGTGCCACCAACGTGCCACCCTGCAACTCTGCAATGCACAGAGAAAAGCGAACTCGATCCATCGACTCGTCTCGGGTCTGCGCGACTGTCGGACCCGGACCCTGCCTGATTGAAGATCTTTGACATTGGATCCTCGAGCTCTGCACAGAGGCCCCTGCCGCAGCGTGAAAAGTGAGTGACTTGGCTGTGCTGAAGCAAAGCAAGCAAACAAAACAGAACGTCTGACCAAAGTCTCATTGCAAGCCAAATGCCAGTGACATCAGGGATTGGGGCGGCAACTTGTGGGACTTTGAAGACGCGTGAAGAATTCAGAGCCGCCAAATCCTGCAGATTCCATGCAAACGGAATTTGTACAAACTGTGTGTTTGTGACAAAAGTGAGAAAGGCGCGAGGGGAAGAAGATGCAAGTTTGGGACTGAGGACTATTTGTTTGTCACGTCAAAACTGCCTAGCAGGACGTGGAGATGTATCAAATGTCCATGGTTACTGCTATGCGTCAGTGACTGGTCGCTGTTGTCAATCAACCCCTTGGAACCTCTGGTAGGTTTCTGATCAAGATGTGAGAGCCTATGCGACCTGGCTTCGCCGTGTTGGATCATCCACTCGGGTGCTTTACACGGCTGGGACAAGCCGAGCAGGGTTGAGGCAAGCATCAAAATGGTGAAGATGTAAAACGCTTCTGGAAATGCGCGCAACGCGTTGTAGTGCAACGCGTTGTAGAACAACGCGTTGTAGAAACCATTGCTTCGTGGCTTCTCCATCTGCCCTTTCAGAGAAGGCCACTATTATGCGCCTTGGCCCACGCAGGCAACTGGGACATGCGCGTTTCACTAGTATTTACAGGACAGCCTCATACAAATGAATTGCGAGGCCAAAAGTGAATACAACGGCCTCGTTAGAATGAAGTGTTTGGCCGGATCTCATGTGCGTGTTGCTCAGTGTGCGGCTGGCTTGTGTGTGTGTGTGTGTGTGTGTGTGACACAAGTAGAAGCGACCAGTGCAGCAATAACGCCAAGATATGCCACGCCAAGCATGAGCTTCAAACAATGCTAGCTAACTCAGTGCAGGCTGTCGAAATCTAAAAATCATGGAAAACAAGTGGCCCTGCCTTGCCAAAATCAGCACAGGGCAGCCAGCACCGATCCAGAAAAGCTGCGGACGAAGCTGCTTCACACGCACAACGCCGATAAGAGAAGCGCAACTGAGTTCCTTCCTTTTCAAGTTGTCCGTTCCTGATGTTTGATAGGCCCAAAATACAAGTGGCATGCTTAGCTGAGACGAGGCCCGTTTGAAGTGTCGAGTTTGCTGCTTACCGTAGTTAAGGCGACGTTCGCCCTGGCCTAATGGCAGATTGCCCCGTTTAAGCGCCTCCTTGGGACTGAAACCGTCCATCCGTTGAAGGCCGGCGCCCGGGAACAGTTCGTCTACTAGACTATGCATGAAGCGAGCAAGGAAAACGGCCCACCAAGAATGATTGAAGATGCTCTGTCTGTTTGAATTGTTGTGCTCTAGGACTCTCCGACACATGGGTTTGGTTTTCAAAGATACACCCAAAGGACCATCTGCCCTAATTTCAAGACAAACCCAATCGGCTGTTCTACTTTCCCTTGTTCATCAGGGATCCCTGCATTATACACCTGAACAGTGCATTACATGGTTTCCCTTTATTTTGGTGGAAAAGGCCATTTTTCAAATGGGCAAAATGTATCTTTTCAGGCTTCATGGGTCCAACTTGGGCTCAGCGCGGCTGGCAGCCACCCAGTGTGGCACGCAAGACCTCGCGGTGCTGCGTCCTCGCTGAGGCAATGGCAACGCGACGGTACCCCTTTTTGCGGATTTAAATGGAAACCGGATGGAAAACCACCACCACCCCACCACCCATTTGGGGGGAGGAATCCCCTAAAAAAAGAAAACACCCAAATGGGTGTTTCTCCAAATCAGGAAGCACTTTCTCCAGGTGGGTCCCTTTTCGTTTCCCTATAAAAACCATCCCAAGGGTCTCCTATCAGAATCCAAAGGCGCCGCCAGACATGTCAAGTATAGTGTTTCCCCTACCTCTCACAGCAAAGGGCATATTGCCTGGAAGAAGACAACTTCACAACAAGCTTGGCCAAATTGATCGCCCCGCTCTCCTAATCCAAGATATGCCCTGCTGCAACCGACACACAACACAATTATGAAGACAGGACATCTTGTTGCATCCTCCGCATCTGCTCTTGGAACCTCATCGTGTCCAATGTCCACCCTCAAGACAAACGGCATCATCTTCAGAGGGCTTTCGTCCAGTTCTGGCACCTTCCTCCAGCGTTGTGCCATGAACAGCTCCGGTCGCAACATGAACACTTCTGTGCAAGAAAGCCATTTCTGCCGTCAGACTTGGAAATGTGCCCTAGATTCCCCCATTTTGGATACCCTGCAAACCAATCCAGCAGTAACCATGGCAACCGGACACACCGTCCTCTGCTTGGTGCTGACGCTGGGTGGCCGCCGAGAGGCTCCTGACAAAGAAACCAACGCCTTCCTTACGGAAAGAAGTACCAGCCCAGCCCTTTTGCTCCCCGGAGCCTCTTTGGCTGGTTGCCCAAGTGGACAGGGACAAGAAATTGAACAGCACCGGCCACATTCTTAGTGCCATTCTACTATGCCACCTCTCTGGTCCGATTAATCTTTCTTCTGGAACAAGCAAACACACCCCAAAGCATTCTCAAGCCAAAGACCATAGCTGTGACAAATCCATGTGAAATGTCAAATGACCAAGATGTCAATCCCGTAGCGAAGTCCTCGTTCCAGCAGTAGCTCGAAAATAGCCCAGCAGTTCCAGCCGTGCATGCTGCAAGGCTTGTTGTGTTTGGGAAAAAGTAAGCCCAAGAGCTGGCAAACTCCGAGTTTGGCCAAAATCCCACAGAAGCCTCTGGTCTTGTCCGGATCCATTCGACGCCTTTCCCCAAACTCCGCCAGGAGCACGTACTGCGCGGCGCAGCTCAAGTTCTTTGGAGCCTCTTGCGCCCTGGCGTACAACCCAGGCGAACCGCAAGACTTGGACATTCCACGTTGGACAATTGGCTTGCCTTCTGGTTTCTTCTCAAGTCCAACTAGTGGTGCCACATCCCAATTGTGAACCTTGGATTGATGGAAGGGTGAGCAACTTGTTGTGAGTTGCATGAACAGAGCCGGGTAAGACGTAGTAAGCGCTCGAGAAAGTCAAGAGCCTTGCCAACTTGAGCAAAGGGAATACTCGATGTAGCAGCTTCCGGTGTCACCAAGACTCCTTGTAGTGCTCGGGTGCTTGCATGGAAAGTTCCACGTGTCCGAAAACATGCACATGGACTGCGTGGAGACTATCTTCAAATCTGCATGAAAGCGGAGATGACATGAACGGTGACCGCGGACACCTTCGCTTCGGTGCAAGTCGGCTGAGCAACGGTGCCTGGAAAGACAGCTACAAAGCTTGCCAGAGCATGTCGGTCGTTTCAAGCTTGTACAAGGTCAACGGGCAAGCCGTAAAGTGGAGCAAACAACAGGGAGATGAGGATCTGTCTTTGCATGTCAAATCTCCAAACGGGATGAGGGATTGTGGCCAATCCACCGCAGCCAAGCTTTCTGAACACGGAACCTTAAGCAGCTTGGAGGTGTGTCTGGGTTGGTGTCAAGGTTCCATCCTAGCTACTGCCAAGATGTATAGTATGGAGTGCAAGGGGCCACAAGAAATCTGTCGCCGATCAGCCATCAGTGATAGAATAGTTACAAGCGCCACCAAACAAGTGCATCAGTTGGCCATGCACTCAGGGGTGGTCTCGAATGCGCCTCCTCCTGCAAGATGAGGTGCCAATCTCCGCTGCCCAGCCTGCGGGGGTTGCGCAGCAGGTCAAGCATTGATAGGAACACAATGGTGGGTCAAACATCCACATCCTTCGCTGTAGTTGAGTAGCCCAAAAAAGCTTCGAGGAACCTCTCGTGACCCGATTCAGCCCCAAAAAATATTCAACACCCATACAGTGGTTGATGTGTTGCTGGCCAGGCGAACCCCGAATCATCTGTGAACCAGCTATGTGTTTGTTCAGTCGACAATCTGATAGGGCACATGCTTCAGGAGCGCTCCGGTTGACGATCGGCATGCACAAAGAAACAAAAACAGTCTTCGGAGATGTGAAAACTCAATATGACTTCGAAAGCAAAAGGCATAGACCTAACACGCCAAAATTGCTGGTTGCTCAAGCTTGTATCTGAAACCCGCAGGTTTCACTGAGCTCCAGGCACCGGAGCGTCGCACTTCGTGGCCCCTGGCCGGTTTGCACGTCTCAGGTATGAAATTCCACGGGTGCCTGCTCCCGGTTGACAGCATGTTCGCAGAGGTTGCTGAAAAGGCAAAAATGCCCTGAAAACTGTTTCCCTGATCTGGTGCTGGACAATGCAGTTTGTGAACTCGCAAGCTCTGCAAGTTGGAAGTCAAAGACATACTGGGACTGGGATCAAGGTGACTCGCAGATCAAAGCAATCGGATTAAAACAAAAAAACAAAAATCACTGGGCGCAAGGTCATGTGTGTCGACATTCAATCACCCACGGACCCTCTTTCATCAGAACACCCCAAGGCGACTCTCCAGGATCTGGTAGGAAGAAAGTGGCTTCGCTGCCCTGGAAAGCTGCAACACAACACGACAAAAATCAGACGCAAAAAGGCAAGAGCAAAGGGTCAGTCATGAGATTTAAAGCTGGCTCCACACCCCTCCCGCTAGTTCTGGAGCCTTGATAATATTTCCGAGTTGGCTCGGAGGTCGAAATGGCAAACGTACACTTTGCTTTTTCATCAAGCTGGCATTCAATGCTTCCACGTCCCTCAGTCTGCCCTTTCCCCTCCTGGCAGCACCAGAACCCCCTGCTCCATGGCCAGAACCAGCTGCAAGAGCTGCTGCATCGCCGCCTCCGTCATCCTGAGGCAAGGTGGCCAGCAGTAGGTTCTGACTTCACTTTGACTTTGGCGACCACAGAAAACTTGGTCTTTGGAAGTATTGGGCGCCGAACCTCGGGACACAGGCAGTCGGAAGCAAAACACCAGCGCCAAACTGGTCCCCAACTGGACCCCTGTTCAAAGGCGAACCGTGGATCGTTCGGTTGCACCGACGTATCTTGGAAATGTCTATGCATGGCTCCTCCTGAGGCTAGGCCCTGCATCCTCACAGAGGTCGGGGCTGCTGTTGGCCTGGACTAAAGCAAAGAACTGGTACCCCCTGAGCCCCCTCTTGACATATTGAAACTCAAGACCATGTGGTAGCTTTGAAGGGGCTGCACGCACACTCACACGCGGACACACACACACACACACAACCACACACACACAAACAAACACACAAGCACACAACACACACACACACAAACTCACAACACACACAACACATACCAACACATACCAACACATACCAACACATACCAACACATACCAACACATACCAACACATACCAACACATACCAACACATACCAACACATACCAACACATACCAACACATACCAACACATACCAACACATACCAACACATACCAACACATACCAACACATACCAACACACACACACACGAGAGTGCTAGAGCATAACCGCAATGAAGAAATCGTTCGACTGACTGGGCCAACCTAAACACTGTACTCGCTTTGCGCAGCAATCCTCCTTGTCCCTTGGGCCAGAAATTCCAGACTGAAATGAAATCCGTCTGAGCCGTCGTTTTGGGCATTTGCGGCTTTATCTTCATTCGCCGTTCGGACTTCTCACCTTCGAACCTTCGCCCGGCCTCAAGCAGCCAAGGCCTCGAGGCGGGGCGTCAAAACTGAAGCGCATCACCAGTCCAGACAGAACTGCTCCTAGACTGATTGTAACAGAAGGGACCCGGCAGTTCTAGCCACCATGGCAATGATGCACAATGAGCCAATGTGACAAGGATAGATCTCGGTTCACCAAGCATTGCTCTCGGACGATGTGCTAGATATTCCTGTTGAACTCGACCGGCCACCCCCAGGTTTGTCAGAATTCATGCGCTGCACAATCAGTTTGGTTGCAATCTAGTTCGTGTTGTTGGTCCATGGGTTTTTCTAACCGGGTGCCGTCTATGAGCCTTGTTTACAACCCACACCGGGCTGAAAACTCTGAGCTGAGGCTGGGCGCCCCATGTCGCAGTCCAGCAGAAAGTCGAAGCCGAACAGCTCGAAGCAACCGCGTGGATGAGCTGGCAGCCATGCGGTCTTTGTTTACTCGTTCTGGGTCTCAGGAGCGATTTGTTTGCTTGTCAACCTCTCGCATGTATCCGCAGCGAAGAGTGGCTGAGACTCCTTGAGAATACTTGTCCCACGCACGCGAGTAAGCCCGAACACGCCATCCCAGCGCAGATGAATCTGTAGCACCCTGGCACTGCACAGCTCCCGCCTCCCACATCTTCCTTGCAGCTCAGTACACAAGTACGAACTGCCTGGCGAAGAACCAAATTGCGCTTGGATTGGATCGACAAATGTCAGAAATTGAGCACGCGGTCTGGAATGGCTTGGGAAAAAGTAACAGTAAATGGGCTGTACTCTCCACAGACATCAGTAAACGAGGGAAACACATGCTGCCGAGCTGCTCCTTTTCTCGAGTGTAATGCCAAGTGGCATCCGGCTTTGCTTCATAACTGCACATAAGCTGAAGAGCGCAACGCAAGCCCCCAAGCCTCCAGCATCTTGGGCCAGGTGTACTCCTTCCATCGCTTCATGGCCTTGGCAGGGGTCTCGAATCTGCACCCCATACACTCGAATCACGGGTGTCTGTGGGCAAAATGCTGATGTGATTACACCAAGAAATTTGTGCTGATGGACAAGATGCTCATGCCAACGGTAGTAACAGCAAGAATGTAAGAAACTAAGTTGATTGCAGAAACATATTCTGCCTTGACGACTTCACAGCTTGGCGGAGAAACAGAACTGTAGCGTTGTCATTGGGCGTGTTAAACACAGAATCCAAGCAAAGTCTGCCCCTTGAGTGTTATATGTCTGTCATGGCAAAGCAGTCACCTCAGAGCAAGCACGTCACTTTGAATCACGAAGCACAAGAAGCTTCAGGTTCTCCTTCTCCGGGGCGGCCTCTAGATCGCATCAACATTGACATGGCTCGATCCAAACAGCGTACGTTCCGTTTGCGCCACCTCGAAGGTTTGGCGCCCGGCGCCACCGGGCACGTCCTTCAGCTCTTCCTGCAATGGATTTGCAGCAGACTTCACGGAACTGTTACTGCAGTATGCGGGAAAAAAGTAGTCACGTTACACGTCCCTCATACCGCATCTAGGTTTCCAGGGACTGTGTCGCTTGGCAGGAACCCATTTTCTTTGATGTTGCGCATGTTGCTGTCGACGATTTGACAAACTCCCCAGCACCATGATTGCTGACTTCTCGCCACTCTCCACCTCGCTCTTCTTCTTCTTAGAGCTCCATCCAATCAACATGTCCAGACACCTTCCAGGTCAAAAGCCAATGTGCAAATCTACCACTTTCAAGGCAAACATCAGCACACTCGTTCTCACATGCCATACATCATCATCATCATCATCGTCGTCGTCATCATCATCATCATCATCATCATCATCATCATCATCATCATCATCATCATCATCATCATCATCATCATCATCATCATCATCATCATCATCATCATCATCATCATCATCATCATCATCCTCATCATCACACCCTGTGCTCCGGTTGTGTCTGCAGCCGGCCAAGAATTTCAAGGCAAACATCAGCACCACCGACAAACAAAAAGCTGAGAAATGAGTGATGCTATGTCTGCAGCTTGCCAAGATTGCCAAGGCAACCATCAGCACACTTCGTTCTCGTACATCATCACACACCGTGTGCTGCTGCTCATATGCCAAGTCAGCCGCCCACCAACAAACAGCTGAAAAGGTCAACCAATCTTGCGGTATCAGTGATGTTGTGTCTGCAGCTTGCCAAGACTGCCAAGGCAAACATCAGCACACTTCGTTCTCATACATCATCACACACCGTGTTCTCCGGATCATACGCCAAGTCAGCCGCCAACCAACAAACAGCTGAAAAGGTCAACCAATCTTGCGGTATCAGTGATGCTGTGTCTGCAGCTTGCCAAGATTGTCAAGGCAAGCATACATCATCACACACCGTGTGTTCCGGATCATACGCCAAGTCAGCCGCCCACCAACAAGAAACTCACAAGGTCAACCAATCTGCCGGTATCAGTGATGTTGTGTCTGCAGCTTGCCGAGATTACCAAGCCAAACAACAGCACGCTTCGTTCGCCGCAGCATCATCATCATCATCATCATCATCATCATCATCATCATCATCATTATCGTCATCATCATTATCGTCATCATCATCATCATCGTCATCATCATCATCATCATCATCATCATCATCATCATCATCATCATCCATTATCATCATCGTCATCATCATCATCATCCTCATCCTCATCTTCGTCCTCGTCCTCATCCTCACCCCTCATCATCATACCGTGTGCTCCAGATCATACGCCAGGTGAGCCTGAGTGACATTGTGTCTGCAGCCGGCCAAGAATTTCAAGGCAAACATCAGCACCACCGACAAACCAGAAAATAACAAGGTCAACCAATCTTGCGGTATCAGCGATGCTATGTCTGCAGCTTGCCAAGATTGCCAAGGCAACCATCAGCACACTTCGTTCTCATACATCATCACACACCGTGTGCTCCGAATCATACGCCAAGTCGGCCGCCGACCAACAAACAGCTGAGAAGGTCAACCGATCTTGCGGCATCAGTGATGTTGTGTCTACAGCTTGCCAAGATTGTCAAGGCAACCATCAGCACACTTCGTTCTCATACATCATCACACACCGTGTGCTGCTGCTCATATGCCAAGTCAGCCGCCCACCAACAAACAGCTGAAAAGGTCAGCCAATCTTGCGGTATCAGTGATGTTGTGTCTGCAGCTTGCCAAGACTGACATCAGCACACTTCGTTCTCATACATCATCACACACCGTGTGCTCCTGCTCATACGCCAAGTCAGAGGCCAACCAACAAACAGCCCAAGATTGCCAAGGCAACCATCAGCACACTTCGTTCTCATACATCATCACACACCGTGTTCTCCGCATCATATGCCAAGACAGCCGCCGACCAACAAACAGCTGAAAAGGTCAACCGATCTTGCGGAATCAGTGATGTTGTGTCTGCAGCTTGCCAAGATTGCCAAGGCAAACATCAGCACACTTCGTTCTCATACATCATCACACACCGTGTGCTGCTGCTCATTCGCCAAGTTAGCCGCCAACCAACAAACAGCTGAAAAGGTCAACCAATCTTGCAGTATCAGTGATGTTGTGTCTGCAGCTTGCCAAGATTGCCAAGGCAACCATCAGCACACTTCGTTCTGATACATCATCACACACCGTGTTCTCCGGATCATACGCCAAGTCAGCCGCCGACCAACAAACAGCTGAAAAGGTCAGCCGATCTTGCGGCATGAGTGATGCTTTGTCTGCAGCTTGCCAAGATTGCCAAGGCAACCATCAGCACACTTCGTTCTCATACATCATCACACCGTGTGCTCCTGCTCATACGCCAAGTCAGCCGCCAACCAACAAACAGCCCAAGATTGCCAAGGCAACCATCAGCACACTTCGTTCTCATACATCATCACACACCGTGCTCTCCGGATCATAGGCCAAGACAGCCGCCGACCAACAAAGAGCTGAAAAGGTCAACCGATCTTGCGGAATCAGTGATGTTGTGTCTGCAGCTTGCCAAGATTGCCAAGGCAAACATCAGCACACTTCGTTCTCATACATCATCACACACCGTGTTCTCCGACCAACAAACAGCTGAAAAGGTCAACCAATCTTGCGGTATCAGTGATGTTGTGTCTGCAGCTTGCCAAGATTGCCAAGGCAACCATCAGCACACTTCGTTCTCATACATCATCACACACCGTGTATACACCAACAACACAGCTGAAAAGGTCAACCAATCTTGCGGTATCAGTGATGTTGTGTCTGCAGCTTGCCAAGATTGCCAAGGCAACCATCAGCACACTTCGTTCTCATACATCATCACACACCGTGTGCTGCTGCTCATACGCCAAGTTAGCCGCCAAACAACAAACAGCTGAAAAGGTCAACCAATCTTGCGGTATCAGTGATGTTGTGTCTGCAGCTTGCCAAGATTGCCAAGGCAACCATCAGCACACTTCGTTCTCATACATCATCACACACCGTGTGCTGCTGCTCATACGCCAAGTTAGCCGCCAAACAACAAACAGCTGAAAAGGTCAACCAATCTTGCGGTATCAGTGATGTTGTGTCTGCAGCTTGCCAAGATTGCCAAGGCAACCATCAGCACACTTCGTTCTCATACATCATCACACACCGTGTTCTCCGGATCATACGCCAAGTCAGCCGCCGACCAACAAACAGCTGAAAAGGTCAGCCGATCTTGCGGCATGAGTGATGCTATGTCTGCAGCTTGCCAAGATTGCCAAGGCAACCATCAGCACACTTCGTTCTCATACATCATCACACCGTGTGCTCCTGCTCATACGCCGAGTCAGCCGCCGACCAACAAACAGCTGAAAAGGTCAACCAATCTGGCGGTATCGGTGATGTTGTGTCTGCTGCTTGCCGAGATTGCCAAGGCAAACATCAGCACACTTCGTTCTCATACATCATCACACACCGTGTTCTCCTGCTCATACGCCGAGTCAGCCGCCAACCAACAAAGAGCTGAAAAGGTTAACCAATCTGGCGGTATCGGTGATGTTGTGTCTGCTGCTTGCCGAGATTGCCAAGGCAAGCATCAGCGCACTTCGTCCTTATACATCACCATCACTATCATCATCGTCATCATCATCATCATCATCATCATCATCATCATCATCACCATCACCACCACCACCACCACCACCACCACCACCACCACCACCACCACCACCACCATCACCATCACCATCACCATCACCATCACCATCACCATCACCAGCACCATCAGCATCAGCATCAGCATCAGCATCAGCATCGTCGTCATCGTCATCGTCACCGTCATCGTCATCGTCATCATCGTCATCATCATCATCATCATCATCATCGAATTTGTCCAGCTCCTAGCTAACATTTGTTTCCAATAATAGTCTGCAGGGTGAGTCATGTGAGTAAGGCCAGATGGCCTAACGGTTCCGCAGCGATTGGTAACGCTCAGTCTCACTTCAATCAATTCTAGTTTTGGCACGCTCAGGGTACGTTGTGGCGAATACGCCGGACACGGGGTCAACCACCAGGCATCAAAAGAAAAACAGGATTCCAGATCGACAAGTCCTTGTCTTGCAGGTCTTGAGGGCCCGCAAGGATCTAGATTTGTGCATGGCTACCGGGTTCGCGGAGATCATTTGTCGCGACGAGTTTCTGTGGTCTACTGGACGTGGGGCCCTAGGTCTTCCAAGACGCTGAAAGAAAGCCCGCTCTTTTCCCAAAGAGCTTGTTGGGTCTGTGGGCGCCTCAAGAGAGGGAGAAGCCTAGGACCTGAAGTTGGATTGCCCTGGCTCGGACGTACCCTCAACCAGAGCCATGCATCCTGGCCTGTGCCCAGCGCAAGAAGGAGGGTAGTAGCCAGATGTGGGCCTGGAGCCAAACTAACCCAGACCGCGGTCCCCTGCCAAAAGTTTAACTTTTGGTGGGAAAAAAAAGCAGCCTCCCAAGAAACCCTAAAAACCTGAAAGCTAAGGGGACGGCCGGGAACTGCCAAGACAAACATACCTGGGAAAAGGGGCTTGATGGCTTGGGAGAAATGACCGTTTCCCCCCCAATTCGATACCCTGCTTCAGCCACGATAGATCAGTTGGCTAGTCTGAACAGAAGGCATGAGGCGAATCCGCGGCACAGAAGGCAGCGAGGAGGCAATACTAAAAAGCAGCAAACGTGCTTTCGAAGTGTCAGAGGCGTGGCACTGCTGAAACAGGTTACTGGTTACTTCTCAACGACAATCTGACTTAACCCTGACTTCCAAGTGGGAAGAATCACTGATGCACCTTTAGCATCCAGTTTGAAAGGGGTTTCGGTGTTGTCGCGCCATGGAAGAGAAGATCAGCAGAATCAAACCCATGTTGATGTTGGCCGCCCGCGCTCACAAACGTCAAAGCTGCTGCACTGTCTTGAGGCACGCCCCACTCGTCCCACCCGTCCCACCGAAGCAAGGCATCTCGAGCATGAAAGGCTATCTCAACTGCTCTGCACGACTTTTCATAGAAATCGCCAGCGCCTCGTCCTCCAGCGGGCCCTGCGGGCGTCGAATTGGCTAAGCTCATGCATCCTGGTCCATCAGGCGGCACTGCAAATGACAGCCCGACATGGATGGTGCATCAAGCCGCGTGGCATATTAAATCAAACTAGCAGACTCGAAACGGATGTTTCGGTTTGAGATCATTCTCAGAAGGCCCTCTTGTTGGATTCTCAGCAGCAAGACATCATTACAAGGCCTTCTATGCACAAAACTGTTTGGTACTGCGGATGTCTCATGGTTGCCCCTCCCCCCCTCCCCCAAACTCGTCTAGGCACAGAGAAACGCAATAACCTGCCATGTCGAGCCGTGCTTATCATGTGCCAGCGAGCGTGCAGCTCTGACGTGGTGCGAGTGAGCGGGTGTGCTGATCGCGTGACAACAAGCGCGCAGTTCTGACGCGGCGTGCAGCATGAACTGTGCTTATCAGGTGTTAACAAGCTCTGGCGTGATGCACGTGACAGGGTGTGCTTGCCATGTGCCAGCGTGCGTGCAGCTCTGACGTGATGCGCGTGAGCTGGTGTGCTTATCGTGCAGCTCTGACGTGCTGCGCGTGAGCGTGGGCGGCGTGTGGGGGTAAAAGACACTCGAACACGCGGGTGGGTAAATACCCGGTACCTTTCAAAAAGGGTAGGGTCCCTGATTTTGGCAAATCCATCATGACGGTCGGAATGGCCGGCTGGTTCTGGCCAGTCTGAAAAAGCCTGACATGTTCCATTCGGTCAGTGTTCCAAGCAAACCCGCTCGCGAGCATCACGTCAGCGCTGCACGCGCCTTGGTACATGCCAAGCACAACCGCTCACGCGCATCACGCACGCTGGCACATGATAAGCGCCTCCGCCCAAGGACCTTGCCAAGGCCAAGAAACACCCAGCCTTCGCGGCCCCATCACCTCGAAGCGTCTGCGCATGCAAAACACTCACTGCCTTCGGTGGATCCACAAATACTCACACGGCGGCCTGGGCTTCCAGGCGTTTCTGTACAGCGCGGTTCGTGAGGTGAACATAAGGGTCCTCAGCCTGAACGCTCAGTCGCGCGTCAGACTGGGCATGCGTCGCACTCGCAGCATGGCAGCGCTTGTCTTGGCAAGCGCTCTCTGTCAAAGAACAACACCAGTGATGACATCGAATTGCTTCCTGTCGGTCGGCGCTAGCGATCATCAACCCACCCTTCAAGGCATCAGTGGCCTCTAAAGGAAAGGCTTTCTAGGAGGCACTCAGAAGCGAAAATAAAACCGCTCCAACGAGTGATAAGAAACACCCAGTTAAAGTCGTCGGTCAGAACTCCTTTGCTAGGCACCCATTTGCTGGAGAGATTATCCTTTGCTAGGGAAGTGGCCAACAGCTGGCGCCTGGCTATTGTCCCAGGTGAAGGGGCGTGATGCCAGCCTGGAGAGGGGGCTCACACAGGCTTGCCCCAACACGCGCGTAGACTTCCGGCCCAAACGAGGACACCCCATTTCCACACGTCCCATTTGTAGTTCACATGTATCTTGCGACCATTGCATCATTTGCGTTGCCAGAGCATCTTGGTTCAACACTTGTCTAGGGCTCACCATGTAGGACTTCGTGCACTCACATCGGGGGGTTGGACTGTGGCTCAGGGTTACTTTGGCCAAGTCAAAAAGTCAAACATTACCCCTGACGTGTGTGCTATCCTGCGGCTGTCCACCTACTACTACACGTCTGCGCTTTGCATTTCGTGGCACCTCAATGAGATTGCAGCGCTTACAAACGTGGAGCCAAACGGCAAATCAAGGGGGCTTGCAGATGGCAAACAGTTCGTTGGCCAAGACACGCCCCCAAGCGAGGTCGTCAGCGACAGTCTTCAATTTTGCTTTGAACAAACATTCAAGCCTTCATTTTGGCTAGGAGGCCGTCGTGTCCAATATTGCCACAAAACCACCTGATCAGTTGCCAAGAGTCTAAACAGAATGACGCGCCCCGCTAAAAACGATGCAACGCAGTCGCGCAAATTTGATACTGTGAGAGGTTCGTGGCACAAGCAACGACGATGGTCGCGATGAGGAGGAGGGGATGCGGATCACAGCTGTAGCGGTGATGACGGTCATGATGGTGACCATCAAGTGATGGTGACGCTTGCTTTGACCCCCCCAAGCCCCAACAATTGGTCTGGCATGCCCAAAAGTCATTTGCGGCCACATGCGCAGCGCTGCCACTTTTTACGCACAGCCTGTTCGCCGTGTTGCGCCACTAACGTGGCCAAGGAAGGAAGCTGCTTGAACCTGCCATTGCACGTGAAACTCAGGCTGGCGTCGCACTATGAGGAGACAAACAAATGCCAACATTTGCCCCCACGCTGTGTGCTGCTAAACAAGCCCAATGAGAAACGTTTGCCGAGAGCAATCTGGTTCCACGCCAAGGCGCCGCCCAAAGTGGTTACCTTGCAGGCGAGGGAACAGGGGCGCTTGGGAGGGGGTGGGGGGGCTTTCTGCATCCGCGGCATAGCCGCGGGAAAAAAACAGCAGGTTTTGCGCTAACACACACGTGCTGCGACACGGACAGCCGCTCGACTCATCTCGCGCCAATGTTCGGGGCGAACAACAAAGGGCGCCACTACGCAAAGCCTTTTCCAAAACGGCTACCAACCATTGCAGCTGGCGACCCCGCCTTGGATAGGCAGCGCGTCACAGCACCCAATAGCCCAGGCTGGAAGGGCAATCGCAAAATTCACCTCAACGCGCGCCCACTCCGCCGCAACAAGCCCGCGCATTGACGAAGTTTCTCGTGCCCTCCTGGGCCCCTGCAAGGGACGCTTTGCGGACGCTCGCAGTGCAATCGATCGTCAAGGAGCGCGCGGTCAATTGGGACGCCTGCGCTTTTCTGCCTTCAATCCATGGCCGCGGTGAATTGGATGTTCATCCAAGATCAAAACACGGCAACTTCGCCAGCACTCGTGCTAGATTTGCCGAACATTGATATCCCCTGGGCTCGTTGCATCTGGATTACTGGACTTCAACCGTTGGGCTCTGCGACGCAGGTTGAAACTCCTGCCACCCGCCCACAACCCTCCTCACTTTGCGCTCTAGGCCAGAATGTTTCGTGAGGAACACAGCTGCTTTCAGGGTTCCAACGCCTGCCTTCCGCATCTCCAAACGCTAAGCTTTTCTTTGGTGTTGCGGCAACCCCTGACCAAGCAAATAGAGGGGGTGGGCTTCTGCGTGGACGGGGCGGACGGGCAGGCAACGGCTAGGCGGGTTGGTGACTGTGTGTGTGTGTAGGTGTGTGTAGGTGTGTGTGTGTGTAGGTGTAGGTCTAGGTGTGTGTGTGTGTGTCTGTAGGTGTTGTGTGTAGGTGCGTGTGTAGGTGCGTGTGTGTGTGTGTGTGTGTGTGTGTGTGTGTGTGTGTGTGTGTGTGTGTGTGTGTGTGTGTGTGTGTGTGTGTGTGTGTGTGTGTGTGTGTGTGTGTGTGTGTGTGTGTGTGTGTGTGTGTGTGTGTGTGTGTGTGTGTGTGTGTGTGTGTGTGTGTGTGTGTGTGTGTGTGTGTGTGTGTGTGTGTGTGTGTGTGTGTGTGTGTGTGTGTGTGTGTGTGTGTGTGTGTGTGTGTGTGTGTGTGTGTGTGTGTGTGTGTGTGTGTGTGTGTGTGTGTGTGTGTGTGTGTGTGTGTGTGTGTGTGTGTGTGTGTGTGTGTGTGTGTGTGTGTGTGTGTGTGTGTGTGTGTGTGTGTGTGTGTGTGTGTGTGTGTGTGTGTGTGTGTGTGTGTGTGTGTGTGTGTGTGTGTGTGTGTGTGTGTGTGTGTGTGTGTGTGTGTGTGTGTGTGTGTGTGTGTGTGTGTGTGTGTGTCTGTGTTTGCGTGTTTGTGCGTTTGCGAGTTTGTGTGTTTGTGCGTTTGTGCGGTTGTGTGTTTGTGTGTTTGCGCGTTTGTGCGTTTGTGTGTTTACGTGTTTGTGTGTTTGTGTGATTGTGTGCTTGTGTGTGATTGTGTGTGTTGTGTGTTCGAGTGTTTGTGTGTTTGTGTGTTTGTGTGTTTGTGCGTCTGTCTGCGGTGTGTGTGCGTGGATACGTGGACGAGTGGGCGTGTGGGAGCGTGGGAGAGTGGGAGCGCGTGCGCGCAGGGGCTCATGCGCGCGCGCGCGCCCGTGCGCGCGTGCGCGCGTCAGTGCGTGGGTCCAAAGCGCGCGCGTGTGCGTGTGCGTGCGCGCGCGCGTGCTTGTGCCCGTGCGCGTGCACGTGCACGTGCGCGGGCGCGGGCGCATGTGCGTGTGCACGTGCACGTGCGTGAGCGTGCGCTTGTGCGTGCGCGTGCTTGTGCGCGTGCGCGTGCGCTTGCGCGTGTGCGTGTGCGTGTGCGTGCACCTGCGCGTGCGCCTGTGCGTGCGCGTGTGCGTGTGTGCGTGTGTGCGTGTGTGCGTGTGTGCGTGTGTGCGTGTGTGCGTGTGTGCGTGTGTGCGTGTGTGCGTGTGTGCGTGTGTGCGTGTGTGCGTGTGTGCGTGTGTGCGTGTGTGCGTGTGTGCGTGTGTGCGTGTGTGCGTGAGTGCGTGTGTGCGTGTGTGCGTGTGTGCGTGTGTGCGTGTGTGCGGGTGTGCGGGTG